GGTGGAAAGGGGGCCTCTGGTCCTGCAGGTTGCCTGCCAGAGAGGAAAAGTGGGGAGTGGGGAAGCTGCCTGCAGACTTAAGAGCTCATTCCCCCCTTGGCAGAGGGATTTTTCTCTAAGGAACTCTCTTCCCAGAGTGCCACTGTGACTTACTCAAACACAGGCCTTATAGTGCAATGAATGACCCAGCTGCCCCTTTGCCACAGTGGGGCAATGCCAGAGGAGCAAAGGGATATCCCAGGCCAGCTTCCTCCTTCCGCCCCTTAGCCATTCAACATTTGGGATCCTGAGGCTGCTCACACTGCAGTGAAATAGAGACAACCACCCCCCAATTCATGCAGCCCTTCTTTTTTTTTCCCCTTGTTCCAACCATATCATCCATGCTTGGCCCTGGAACCACTTCCTCCTCTCCCTCTTTCGCTGACTCCCATACCCCTAAGAGATTCAGGAAGGGCAGGTTCCCCAGCCTTCTTCCTCCTAGGCCTGGATAAACAGGGGAATGGGGCAACAGGCCGTTCTCTCCCGGAAAAGGAGGAGAGCAGCCCGGCTGGTAGAAGAGGGACTCGCGCAGAGATGTCGAAGGCAAGGCTCCCTCTCGAGCCACGGCATGTCTTTAATCGTAAAGACGTAACTCGGAATACAGCAGTGAGATCGGTCTGGCACTTCCCCAAAGGCAGAGCCCCCGGAGATCTCCTCCCCACTCAAAATCTATTCTGCGTAATACATTTTCCTTCCCCCCGTGGACAAAAAAACCAATCACGCAGCCCTCCCCACCCACCCCCAGTTCCCCCATGCATCCCCAACCATTTTGGGACCAAAGCTCTCGTGCCTTCTTCACATTTGCCAGGCAGCAAATGGGCCAAGGGACGGGGAAAGAGGCCAACTCCTGGCATCCTACTCTTTGCCGGCTGCAGTGACCCCACTTCCCACCTTCCTGAAAGAGATGGGGCATCGCTGTAGCAACCGCTTTTTCTGCCCACAGCTCCTGACCTGGATTTCTTTGCCCGGATGGGAGGAGGAGGAGGCACCACTGGTGGGAAGTGGCTCACCCCCCCACACCCCCCCCACACCCCCCACACACAGTATGCCCAGGCCGATGGCCACCTCCCTTGTCCTGGTTTACTACAGGATAGCAGATGATTGGGAGGCGGGGGGGGGGATAATACTGCAGCCGACCCTCCAGCTGCCCGGCTGCAAGGGGGGCACGATGAAGTTGCAAGGGCCAGGAAGAAGAACCCCCCAGTTAAAATGCCGGCGGGAAACTCCCCCTACCTCGCTTTTATTCTCCGGGATCAATTCTTTTAAAAAAATAAATAAAGGAAATCATCCCACGAAGTAAGAACGTTCTTGACTGCAGGAATTCAGAAGAAAAATGGGGACTGTAAAGCTGCCTATTGTTGCCTTAAAAGTTGACCGACAAAGCCTGCAATTCCTAAAACATCCACTTTTCTGAAGGTGACCGGATTTGGGCTCATCTTTCAAACAGGGATAGGGGCCCATGTCCAGTGAGGGCTCAAGGGCCACCAACGCAGCCCCGCTCTCTCCCAGGGGCCCCGTCCCTTGCTGGGGCCCGTCTGGACCCCTCCTTGCTTGGAAATAACAGCAACAGGCTAGCCATCACCTCAGCATTGACCTAAGCGGAGAAGGGAAGAGGCCGCGGCCCTCTGGCCAAAGCGCTGGGCTCACATGATGTCATCCAGGAGGTTGGGGCTGGCCACCCAGTCGAGGGTGCGCGGCTCGGAGGCAGCCATGATCATGCACATGAACTGCTTGCCAGTCCTCTTGTCAATGGGGTAGATGGTGGTGGGCGTGAAGCGCTTGTTGCTCTCCACAAAGGCGCACAGCTGCTCGTAAACCTTCGGGAACTCGTGCCGCAGGAAGACGCCGCGAATGCGCAGCTCGCGCTGGATGTTGATGAAGCAAACCTCTCGTGCCTTGCGTCCTTCCTCGCCGTCCTTGTCCAGGTCGGCCGTGCCGGGTGGGGGCGTCAGGATCAGCGTCTCCATCTCTCGCTCCTTCTTGAGGATCTTCTTCTCGGGGCTGGAGGACGCCAAGGCCATCTTGGCATACTTGCGGACGGTTGGCACCTGCACCTTGGGCGAGGGCTGCTCGGGCACCTCCTGCCCTACCGCCACGGTCACGTTCAGGAGGAAACATTCCTGGGGGTCGTACTGCTGGCCCGCCTCCTGCAGCTCCTGGGCGTACTCCCCGAGGTTGTCCGAATAGCCCTCCAGCTCCCGCAGCGACAGGTAAGTGGGGGACATCAGCAAGCTCTCCAGGCCAAACTGCAGGAAGTTCTCGGCGGAGCCCGAGCTGGGGAAACCCAAGAAGAGCAGCCCTCGGCCCCGGGACAGGAAGCCCACCTTGGCGATGCGGGAGAAGGCCTTGTGCACCTCGCCGTTCTCTCGGCAGAACTGCAGCACGTGGCGGCAGGTGCTACCAATCCGCCCGTAGATGCAGCTCTCCTTGTGGGTGTCCCAGTCCTCCCGCCGGCAGTGGCGAGAACAATAGTAGGTGTAGCAGCTGTGGCAAGACTTGAAGTAGAGGCAAGCGTTGAACATGGTCTCGGTGCGACGGCACTTGGCGTTGGAGCACATCATCAGGTCGTCCTCGTCAGCGCTGAGCTCTGGGGAACAGTCCTCGGGGCCTTTGTCCAAGGGCCTACCGGGGGCCGGGGGCTCAGCGGAGCGGCGGCCCTGGTCCTTCCACAGCTCAGCATGGAAGGAGCTGCGGCCAGGCTGCTCTTTGGTGGGATGGGGCTCCGAGGACCTCCAAGGGTCTGGCTTCTTGGGAGGCAGCCCCAGCCCGTCGCTGATCAACTGCCGCAGCTGGTCGGCCAAGTTGCTGACCTCGCTGGGCTGGCAAACGGAAGGGGGCTTGTAGTCAATGACCAGGTCGGTGATGAGCTCGTCCAGCTGCTCCAGGCTGCGCTGGCGGGCGCTGCTCTCTTTGCCACCAGGGTCTGGGCCGTAGGGCTGGCGGGGGACGTAGGCCCTGTCTCGGGCGTCCCCTGAATCCAGGACATCCCAGCTGGCCGAGCGCCTCTCATGTTTGCCAAGCCCGTTGTGGGCTCGGATGTCGTTGTCCGTGATGGTGATCTCTGGCGTGACGAACCAGCCATGGCGCCCCCTGTCAGCATGCAACTTCTCGACGAGGGAGTTTTCCGAGAGGGAAAGGGCAGCGTAACGCTTGGGGGAGCTGGAGAGGTTCACCACCACTGGTTGGCGCCGGTCATCCGGGGAGAACGCCCGATGGGGGTCCCGGGACAGCAGGTTCTCGTAGCTGCGGCCACGCAGCAGCTGGTCTTCCCGGCGGACGTGAGGGGTCAAAATATTGTCCCAGGATTTGGAGTAATGCCTGGTGTCCACGCCAAGCCGGGGAGGGCTGACGCTGTAGCTGGCGTGCCACGACGACAGCATGGCTTGGGAGGCAGGCTGGTGAACTGGGAAGCGGGCCAGCTGCCAGGCTGGGTAGGGCACCGCCCCCCTTTCGGGGCAGTACCAGTCATTAAACTGCACCGAGGGAGCCAGGCGGGAGTGGGGGTAAGTGCGAGACAGGGCTTCTCGCTCGTGGTATTTCCCATAGTCTTCGGTGTAGAAGATACGCGGGTTGGCCCTCAAGGCCGGGTAAGGCCTGGGGTCTTCGGGGTAAACCGCTTTGGGGGGAAGAGTCCTGGGCGTAGAGTAAAGGCGGGGGTCGTCCCCATAGAAAGTCTGCGCAGGGGCCTCCTGAATGGGGAAAGGAGTCCTGTTTTCCTCCACAAGGAAAGCTCTCGCCGGAACAGGGTAGTAGCCCCCTGGAGGAGGAGGAGGCTCTTCTGCGTAAAAGGTTTGGGGCGGGAGGACCTGGCCCCCATAAGGGGGAGGGTAGGACTTGTAGCTGGAACTTTTCAGAGGGAAACTGCCCGCCTCCTCTGTGTAGAAGAACTTGGGGGGCACATAGGGGATGTAAGGGAGGCAGCCGCTCTCGGGCACAGCAGCGCCCCCATCGCAAAACTCAGTGGGGAAGGGGGCCAGCCCTCGGTGTTCCCCACTATAAGTGTCACTGGGCGTGGGAGTCCGAGACATGGGCACTTGCCGGCTGCTGGGCACGGCCAAGATATGGGGCGTGCCTGGAGGTCGAGCCCAGGCCAGGAGCGCCTCGCCATGGCCTTGGGACCCCTTGGCACTGCGAGCTGCATGCAGTACGGCGGCCTCGTCCGGCTTGATGTCCACCCGGCGCTTGACGTGCACGCTGGGCGGCGGGGGTCTCGCCGCCGGGGGGCCCTCTTCGGGGCAGTTTGTTCCCGTGACGCAGAGGGGCGAGATGCGGCTGCCGCCGGCCCGCTGAGGCTGCAGCTTGATGGGGTGCACCTCGCTCATCAAGGCTTTCATGGAGGCGTAGCTGCTTTCCCGGCGAGGGGAGGCTTCCGCTCGCTCGGGCTCTCGGGACATTCGGTGGACTTCCCGTCCCCTCCTAGCCGGGGCCGGTGGGGAGCCCGAAGCCACAGGGGCGGCCACAGGGGCGAAGGTGGATTTGACGCGGGGGGCGCTCTTGGATCGGGCCCGCCGCTTGGGTTCGGCTCGGGAAGCCACTTCCTTCCCCTGGGCAATGTAGCTTTCCTGCCCAGCAGCCCGGAGTGACACCCTCTTGCCAATGGGAGCCGAGGAAGGTCCCGGCGCGGGTGGCTGCCGGGTATGGCGCTCCATGGCGGGAGTCACCGGCGGAGGGTCGTCGAAGGACTCCAGGAAATCGAAGCTGCGACAGTGCCGCTTGTTGAAGCGCTGGGCAGGCTGGTTCTTCAGGGAGGAAGACATGGAGGAGTCACATCGCCTGGTGGGCTGGCAGAAGGCAGAGCGGTGGGATCCCACAGAGGCCACGGCAACGTCCGGATACACGGCAGACACCAGGATGTCAGGCGGGTCTGTTCGGGTCATCTTAGAATCAGCGTCCTTGCTCCTCTGCGGCCCTCCTCAGATCATCTCAACGAAGGCAACCAGGCCTGGAAAGAGGGAGCGACACAGGGCGCTAAGCGGTGGGCCCAAGCACAGCAGCCACCGGGGATCCGGGGGCCACTCTCAGCCCAAGCTGGGGCCAGGAGTCCCGCCAGGGTTTGTGGGATGGGATAATGGGGGCTGGGATGAGAGCTGATGCACAAGGTGCAGCTCTGCAAGCCCCAGAGGCCCCCATGGCTCATTAGGCCAAGCGCTTCCTGACCCACTGGGCAACCTCACCCCCTAGACCTGCTCCTACTGGGCAGAGCAGGACTGGGGAAGCAGGGAGGCTGGCTGGCATTTTTGCTAATATTCACTAGGGAGCAGACACAGAAATGCAAGCTGGACTCACGCATAGACCGCACGGTTACCATGGTTTCTCCTCTCTCTCTCACACACACACACAACCCCTCTCTCTCTTTTGGGAAGCAATGCATGCTGGGAAATTCCGAGGAAGGCCAGGCCAGGCGCAGGAGCAGCTGTGGTCCAGTTCAGATAAGAGACCAAGATCTGTCCTCCCTGGGATCAAGCAGGGAGGGCAGAAAAAGTCTATTTTAAGCCCCCCACCCACCCACCCACCCCCCATCCTGCAAAAGCCTCGTGGTCTTCCCCTCCTCCCTGCTGACCCATGAAAAGAGGGGGGGTCCCTGAATCAAAGAACTCGAAGTTCCTCCATCAGCCCTGAATCCCAGGGAAATGGGGGGGAGGGAGAAGGAGGCAGGGGGATCTTCTTTCATTCCTGCCACGACTCAGAAACACACACACCCCCCGCCCCAACTGGAACACCCCTCTCCCCAGTTTAGGGCTTTCGCCCCCTGAAGCCTTGCCAAACCGGCCCCTCCCTTTTCTGCCCTTTCTGCAAAAACCCTCCCAACCCATCTTGGCCAAAGCCAAGGCGACGCTGCAAAAAAAAGGATATTTCGGCTCTCGGTTCCCCCAGTCGCCCATCGAGGAAGGAAGGAAGGAGGGAGGGAGGGAGGGAGGGGGGGCCCGTCCCGAAGCCCCTCCAGGCCAGAACCTCCCTGGGAGCTCCGGAAACCGTGACCCACGGATGCTGCTATCAGCTGGCCTTCTGACAGCCCCAGGGCAGTGCCAGTTCCTGGGTTGCCAGGCAACCCCGCTTGCCTTCCGCCCTTGGCCCAGGTGCCTTTCCTGCCCGGCCTGGCATCACGGCGCTTGTCCCCTGGCGCAGACGCCACGAGGCCAAGACCGCCAGCAGGTCGGGCTCCCTCTGCTGACCCCTCCCCACAAGGCCATCCTCTCCCCACAGCCCTGCCAGGAAGACCCCACTGCCATACCCCTCCCCTGGAGGAACTTCCAGCCAAGCACCATTTCAGCCCAGACCCCACCGTGGCCGTTCTGACTCAGCCAGCCTCTTTACTTCACCCTCCTCCTCCTCCTCCTCCTCCTGTGCCCCTGCACCAAACAGAGCATGTGCAAAGGGCTGGGTGGGGAAGGAGGGAGATCAGGTGGGGTTCAGTTCACACACCTGGGGTTCCCCCCTCGGGATGTCTGAACTTCACCGCCCCCATTACAACCAGGAGCAAAAAGGGTTAAGGCTAGGAGCATCGGACGCCTTCCCCGGAGTGCCCTCTGCACCGAGATGGCACTGCGGGGGATGGAGAGGCAGCCCGAAAGGCCTGGCCAGCTGGAGGGCATCCTGCGGGGCCCACAACCCCTCCCCCCTACCAACAAATCTGCCTTCTCCCCTCTCCCCCTCCAGGCCAATATTGCCTACCCACCTGAGGGACACAGAGGGGCGGCTGTGGCATAGGAAGGGATGCCCCTCTACGTGCCCAGAGGGATGCCAACACTTGAGACGCGATCTGGGGGCTCCCTCTTCACAATACGTCATTGCTGGCGGACGCATAGCGGTTCAGTAGCGGGTGGGGGGGGACAGGAAGCTGCCCCCAGATAAAAGAGGCAGGGCACCCCCCTTCGGCTGCTCTTTGGCTTGGCGAGAGGGGGGGGGAGGGAGCCCCCCTCCCAGCTGCAGCCGGAGATGCAGCAAACTCCCGGCTTTCGGGGAGCGGGGCTTTTGTCCCCCCCGCCCAGGGCACCATCTCCTGCCCAGCTTCCCTGCTGCCCGCCCGCCCCCGGCTGCCAGCTCCGGCCTCCTCACCTCGCCTGGGTGCCCGCAGAAGAGGCACCCCCCCCCTTCCCTGGCTCCGGCACCTGCTAGGCGGCCGGCACAGACCCCTCCTGGGCTCCGCAGCGCCCCCAGTGGCTACCGGCAGCCCTTAAAGGGGACGCGTCCACCGCAGAGCAGGAGGCAGGAATTCACCAGGCCCAGCAGCTGGCACCTCCGCCAGCAAGGGGCAGCAGAGGAAGGGGAGTTGACAGAGCCCCCCTCTACCCGCTCACCCTACCCCTGTGGGGCGAGGGGCTTGTCCCCCTCCCAACCCACTTGCTTTGGGAGGGGGAGGAACCCAAAGAAAGGGAGGGCCTTCCAGCCAAGTCTCCTCTCCCTCACCAATCTTGGCAGAATCGTGCCAGGGAGAAGCCGACAACGAGAACTGGTCGACTTTCCCCATCTATCCCTGATCTGCAGGTGCCTCTGAATCTGGAGATATTTAACTCCCGCCACGGAAGCCCTTGGGGGGGGAAACACCTGAAATGTCTTCCCGCTTGGCACCCCTTGCCCTGGGCAAAGCACCCAACCCCTTCCACTCCCCTCATCCGAGAAGGCCTGCCCGGCCTGCCCTCCATCAATCACGCCCTCAAGCCAGACTCCTCCTTCTCTGCCTGGAGCAGGACCCCTCCCTGCTTGTCGTCCCCCCCCCCCGCCAAGTGAATCCGGGGCCCGCCCGGGGCCCCCCCACACACACACACCCCGCGGAAGGCTGCTTGGACAGCTTGGCCAGAAGCCAGCCAAGTCTTGTTGCCAGGAAGAGGCAGCGGCGAGGGATTTCGGGAGGAAGAGGGCGGGGCAGGGAGCACCTGTCTCACCTGCAACCAGGTAGGCCAAAGCTCCGGAGCCAGGAAAGGCCAGCCAGCCAGGCCTCTTCTCCTCCCGAACAGTTAAACCTCCTCCATCTAAGCAGTCGCCTTCTGGGATCAACCACGTTAACGGGCCACGACGGGCTGGCTTGCCCATTTGCTCCAACTGGTTGCACCTGGCATTCAGGCTACACTGCTCCTGAAGGGGGAGGCTCCGTAGGCTCTCGTGGCTACAGAAGGGGCTCCCCCGAAGCGTCACGCAGGGAGCGGCAGAGGCCCCTTAACACTGGGCACCCTGTCCTCCTGCGGGCTCCCCCTGGGGACGGTAGCACCCCCCACTGCCTCCAAAAGCACCCCAGGAGGACCGATCGGCACACCCCGAAACCTTGTCAAAAAAGCAAATCCACCGCAAACGCCCCTCTTTCTTTGTTACGTCGTCAGTCCCCGAGCGGCTGTCCAATCCAGGCAGGCAGAGCTGCTGCTCCAGCGGAAGCCTCTCCAGCACCGGCCGCCCACGGCCCACATGGGAACACGGGCCTCCCGAACCATCCTCCACCTCCCCAGCCTGCAGCAGACTGTTTGGGATGAATCACGAAGCTCGCAAGGAAAACTACTAGGGATGGAAACGGTTTGTTGGATCTTCTTGGGAAAAAACACACACACACCAAAAGCCCCTCATCCCCCCCCCCCAACATTTTAGAATGGCCACGGGGGCCACCATGCCAGCTCACGTCAAGGTTGCCCCTTTCCATTGGCACCTTTGGCATTTGGCTGCCTGGGTACATCCAGCTGACCCCCCCTGCCCCCCAGGCTCCCACTTCGGGGCTGAGGCTTACAAGGCTCGGCTGGGTCTGCTTCACCCTCACAAAGGGGGCATAGATTCCAAGGTGGTTTTTTTTCTTAACTTCCGCTCCGGGTTGCCACATGATCCTGCCGCCATCAGGCCTTGTTGCTGTTTGGCCTACCGGGCATCGAAGAGCAGACGGAGGCGACTGTCCGGCCATCTGTCTCCCTGCTTTTAAATCTGGAGGCCGGATCAGGATGGCTTGGGGTGGGGGGTGGCGCACCGGAGGCGGAGGAGAGCTCTGGGCACCAGGTGGCCTTTTGCTTCTCATCGAATGGGGGTGGGGGTGGAAATAGGGAGGCGGAGGGCTCGACGTGAGGGATTCGCCCGGGTGGGATTAGGCGGCAGGGATGGCAGTGAGGAGGAGGAAGACCGGGGGGGGGGGTTGCTTGGCCTTTTATCTGGGGCTGCACAGCACCAAGCCCATCATCCACCACCCTAGGGAAGAGGGGAATAACTTCTTCCGCGGCAAGGAAGGGGACCCCGGTGCTGCAGGCTGTGGAAGAGGCTGCTCAAGCTTAGCGTGGTGAGTGGTGGTGATGCAACTCTGGCATTTCCTCCCAAGGCAGTCGGAGGCCCGTCTGGTCTGGGAGCCTGGGAGGCTGCCCTTTGCCCGTGCAGCAGGCAGGGGCGGCAGGAACCCCCGGGGCACGTGCCAGGAAGCTTCCTTGCCGACCCCCTAGAAGCACCCGCTTCCGACACCTGAGAGGCAGGCCAGGAGCACCAAAGGCCTGGCAGCTGCTACTTTTGGAAGCTGCCCGGTCACGTGGCGAGATGGGGGACGTAGAGCCCTCCTGCCAAGCAGTTTCCCACAGGATTCACACCCAGGCCCTGAAAGGGAGGCCTGGCTCTCCAGAAGCAGCAGCGGTGGCCGTGAAATCCCCCCCCCTTTCCTGCACAGCTGGAAGGAGCATGCCCAATTCTGCCAGGGGGGCCCCAGCTTCAATCTGCTGAAAGCCACAGGCCGCCTTCTTGGGAAACCGCTGCCCCTCGGGGTCTGCCACGGGCCGTGCCACCGCAAGGCAAGTCCAGAGATTTCGGCACCTTAAGCCAAGCCGGTGGCTGAATCTCGTGGGATTCGGGAGCGTCCCCCGAATGGGCTGGTAGGAGGTGGAGCTGGGCAAGGCCGGCAGGGGCGGCAACCCAGGTGCCTGCCAAGCACAGGAGCCCTTTGCCAGGGTCGGGGTCTTCAGAGGGAAGCTCCCAGGCTTGGCAGGTGGATCCGCTGCAGGAAGAGAACGCACTCCGTTGTTCCCCGAGCTTCTTTGCAGGTGACAAGGTTGGGAAGAATCCCACCAGCCTCTCCCCTCCCCTCCTCCTGGGGAGGAGAGCCGCATCTTTTGCCTGGCAGGTTACCACAGCAACGCCAGTTCTGGTGGGCGGCAGCAGGGGACGGCGAGGGAAGCCTTGGAGCTCGTCAACTGAACTGACAACGGAAAAGACGCAGCGTGTCACTCACCCTTCCTGCACAAAATACCAAGGCTAGCTCTGCTGGACAGCCGGAGAAAGGCCGGGGACAAGGCCTGGGAGGGGAGGGGGCGTCTGCAAAAACAGGGGCGCTTTTTAAAATTAAGACCAAAAAAACACACAACCCCACAAACGGCGATTACGAGAACTGTCACAAATGCTTGGGAAGAAACCCCGTTTTCTCCAACACGAGGATGAGCCGGAGGAGGAAAGAGCAACGGGAGGGAACAGGTCAGGCCTTTCCCAACCAGGTGGGGGGACTGCTCAGCCCAGGGACGGGGTCTCTCATCTCGCGTAAAGCCGGAAGCAGCCTGGATCCCGGTTGAGTGGACACCCAAAGAAAGGAAGCCAGACACGAGTTGTGCAACCGAGAGCTTTTATCAGCTGGAATGAGGAGTGCATCGCTGGGACATATTTTTTTTTTTAATTCCCCCAAAAGCAAAAGTGAAAAAGGGAACAAAAGAAAAGGGAGGTGAACAGCACGAGGCTCATTTGCCAGCTGCATTCCAGAGACTACGCTCCTTGGAGGGGAGGGGGGATGTTCGTGGGGGGGTGGGGGAAGGAGGGAGGAGCCTGGGAGGCTTTTGGTGTGTGTGTGTGGGGGGTCAAGAGTGGGTTTGTCATGCACACCCTCCCCCCACCCCACCCCAGGGAGTGTGAGGGGGGAGGCCAGAGGCCCTGAGAGCACTACCTGTGTGCCATGCAGGCGGCTGGAGATCAAGGGTGACCGGTGCATTTCCCCAACGGGGGGAAGGCGCAGAACAGGGGGAGGAATGTCAGAACAGCCCAACTTCAACCCACACTTAGAGACGCAACGGAATGGTCCGGAATTTGTAGCTGCTTTTCCTTGAGTGAGGCCAGGAGGGTGAGGGAAGGCGTGGGGGGTGGGGGCATTGGGGGGTGGAATCACACACACACACACACACACACACACACACAGCAGGGGTGGGACCAACCACTCCCAAGAGCTGGCTGGGTTTCAGGGCAAACACATGCAGCAGTGACTGGGAGGCAGGGATCCGGAAAGGGGGCAAGGCCACCCGAGGAGGAGCCAGGAAAGGGGTGGGCAGCACACCCACCCACCCACTCTCTCGCCTGCGGGGGGGGGGGGGCAGCCTCCTTTTCTTTCTACGGACACTTGGCTGCAGACGAGCTTCCGGGGGTTCGCAAACTGGGACACAACTGGGGAAAAAGGCCAGGGAGGAGGAGAGGGCACTGCCGTGTCTGTCTGTCTCTCCCGCAAATTCCCAGAATAAAGCCACATTATTCAAACACTTCCCCCTCCCCACATGGAAGGCCTCTGCCCCCCACCCCCAACCCCCGACACACACACACACACACACACCTGGCTGGGACCCTGCAACTGTGCAAGCTCTTAAGGGGAAGCCACGGGTCCAGAACTGTTTCTCTCGTAAAACAATTAGGGCGGATCCATCGTTCGACGGGCAGCAGCCACTTTGGGCGGGACACAATGCGGCCTCTGTGGAGCCCCCCCCCCCCTTTTCCCCCCCCCCCTCAGGAGCCCAAACCCAGGGCTCCCCGGCTGAAAGGACAGGAAGGCTGGGGGGCCTCTGAGCCACTTGCAGGCCCCTCCTCGGTCTCCAGCCCCTCTGGCAACGGGCAGCAGAGAAAGGCAGGGAGGGGCAGCGAGGGTGGGCTGGGGCCGCCTTGCCCCGTGCACCTGGCTGGGGAGGGGCTACAGCTCCTCGTAGTCTTCACCCCCCCCCTGCTGCTTGCTGGCCCCAGCACCGCCCCCGAGGAAGGCCTCCAGCTCGTTGATCCCGTTGGGCTTGGCTTTGCACCGCGGGGGCTGCTGCTGCTGCTTGGACGCCTTCTTCTTCTTTTCCCCCCTGTCGTCCTCCTCCTTTTTCGCCTTGTTCTTTTTCCTCCCTGACACCTTCTCCGGTTCTTCCTGGGAAAGCGGTTGGAGAGGAAGGATGAAGCGGGGGGGGGCGCCTCCCCCCCAAGCAGCCCCCGGAGAGGCCCAAAGCCGCCAGCCCCGCAGAGCTTGCGGGCGGAGAAGCCGCCTCCCCTTGGAGTGAGGCCCCCCGCAAAGGAGCGCAGCCGAAGGATCCAAAGGGGGCGTCTTTTTTGGGGGGGGTCTGCCTGGGGACCCGTTTGGCTAGCAAGGGGCCCACCCTGGCCACAGTCACGGCCGCCCTTTGGGGCCTTAGCTCGGAAACCTTTCCTGCCCTTGTTCGAACACGGCTCCACGCTGACCCACCTCTTTGCTAGTCCTCTTCTTCTTCTTCTTCTTCTCCTTCAAAGTCTGCTTCTCCTTATCGGCAGCTGTGGGGAGAAGGGCGTGAAAAAGGAGAGTGAGCTTCCAGCGGGACAAGAGGACCACCTGCGGCGGCATGAAAGGCCTCCAGCCGAGACTGGGGAGAAGGCGCCTTGAGGGTAATGCACAGCTGGGGGGAAGCTCCGCAAGGCAGGGCCTGGTCTCAGGGTGCCATTGCGGCCAAGGCCCCCCTCACCTTCCTCGCTGCTGTCTCTGCCCACCGCGGCATCCAGCCCCAACCCAAAGAGATCGGCCTCGTTCTTCACTCGGAAGGAGCGGATCGCAGGCTTGGGGAGCTGGGAGGGTCTGGAAGGGGGATCCTCCTCGGAGAGGTCCGAGAGATCCTCCCGCACTGGAAACTCCTAGAGGCAAAGGGGAGAAGGCCCCTCAGTGCCCGCTGCGTGGCCCTTCTGGCCCAAACCCCAGGGAAGCCCCCTCTTGGGATCCATCTGTGCTCCTGAGCAGGCTTCCTTGGGCCAACGGGAGCACCGCCCGACCCACAGAAAACATGGGATGGACCAAACCGAGGGCTCGGGGAGGGGAGGGCAGGGACTTACTGGCCGCTTCCTCTGGCTCTCGGACTCCTCACTTTCAAAGTCCGGATCGTCCATCACAAAGGAGAGCATCTGCACGGCGAAGGGCCCCTCCGAGTCGCTCCCGGACTCCTGCTGCTTGGAGGCAGAGGGCGCTGCAGGCGGGTGGGCCTCAGGGCCGCCGGCTGCCATCATACCCTTGCTTTGCCCAAGCGGAGGCTGGCCGGTGGGAGATTTCACCTCAGTGGAGGATGTGGGAAGGGCCGAAGGCTCTGGGAGTTTCAAGGGCTTTTTGGAAGCTCTGGGGGGGGGAAAAAGGAAAGTGAAGACAGTGCCTGGAGGCCCCGAGGCGATCAAGCAGCCACAGTCTATGCTTGAGGTGGCTCTGCAGAAGCACAACCTGGTTCAGCGGCTCAGCCAACAATGCTCGCGTTTGAAAAGAAGGAGCTGCCACTTCTTCCGTATCACACGCAAATGCCTAGCACCCGTTTGTGCTTGGCGCAGAATCTTCAGTATTTTGGGTTGAAATCTACAAGATTTCATGGGACAGGCCAAAAACAGACGGGGCAAAATCCCACAAACCCTGAACCTGCAAAGTTAACAGTCCCTGACTCTTCCTTCCTTCCGATACCTGTCGAGAAATGAGTTTTTAAGGGGTTTCTTACATACGTTTTTCCCCCAACACATACACGTGGGAACTGAATTTCCCTAGCTGCTGTATTTTTGTCACGTTACGTTATAGTTTTATTTAAGACTTGATGAAAAGTTTAAATCATAGCTTTTAAACTGAACTGCACTGGTTGTTGACTTGCTAAAAGCTGGACCTGGGAACCTCTGGTCCTCCACCCATTGCAGGACACAGCCCCCTCTCCCTACGCATCTTGCCGTGGGCCAAATCAGCGAGGGCGACTGGGAATTGTAGTCAGCAATACCCCGCAACTCCCAGCGCCCCCTTTACCGTTTTTTTCCTTGTTCTAAGCCAGCCTCTTCAGCCCCCACGACGGAGAGCTTGGAGGAGGGTTCTTCTTCCTCGCTCGACAGGGTCACGTTTTTGCTCGGGACCAGCTCCGCCGCTAACGGGGGCTTGCTGAACAGACGCTCGTCAAGGTCCAGGTCATCCTGGAAGCCGGCCACCAAGGGGTTCCCACCAGGGGCCTCTCGGTCACTGCAAGAAGGAAGCCAAGGGCAATGACACAGCCTGCAGGCAGGAGTGGGGGGGAAAAGCAAGGGGCAAATCCCGGGGGTCTCCCTCTGGAATTCCCTCCTCCGGCTGACGGGGGCCCTCCCCAGCACTGCTGACCAAGAATTCCAGAAAACAAAATTGGGGGAAGGGGGAGGCAAAGCCCTCGTGGCCCGAAGCAGAGCGGCTGTGTTGGCTCCACCCAGCAGCGTCTCCCACCTGTCACTGTCGGCAGGAGCCTTTCCTGCCTGCTTCCCCCCCTTGTCTCTCTGGAGGGTGGGGTCTTCCAGGAAGCTGTGGTCCAGGCTCTCCTCGGGGACAAAATCTTCCACGCTCTGGACTTTTGAGGGAGCAACGGCAGGAAGGACAGGATCTGGAAAACAAGAGAAGCCCCTCAGGGGAACCGGTCAAGCCCTGCCGAAGTCTGCCAGCAGGCAGAGAGGCACGTTCAACGGTGGGTCGGTTGAGACGGCACGGAATTTCTCCTTCCCCGAACTGGCTTTGTGTTGCTCTGGTCACCTCTCCTCCCACCCGCACCAAACCAGGGCGCTTGAGGACCCAAAATCCCTGCGTGTTTTCAGCACTGCACCCTCACCTGGAGAGGCGGCACCCGTCTCGGGAGCTGGGGACGTCCCAAAGAGTCGAGCGATGATTCCACGTTTCGGCGGGGCAGCCGGCGCAGGGATGGCTGTGGGCGGCGGGGCTTCAGGCGGCGGCCCTGGCGCTGGAGGCTCAGCAGCGGGCTCCATGGCAAGGGCGGGGATGGGCAACCTCTGCTGCGGGGTGCCGGGGCTGGAGCCCCCCGAAGCATTGTCCGGTGGAACCACCGGAGACTGGGAACCTGAGGAAAGGCTCTGCCCGTTGGTGCCCAAAGGAGAGGCATGTCCCCGGCCACGAGCTTCCATCATGTTGAGGAACCTGTCGGGGGAGAGGAAACGTGACCTCAGGAACCACCCACACACACACACACATACACCAAACTCAAGAGCCAGGGCCAGAGGCCAGATTTAAATTACAATTCCCGGGATTTTGCTTTTAGAGGGAAGGCGAG